GCCATCCCAAAAGTATTCCCGCCCCGAATCGGTTTTGTGCTGCTGTGTTCTCTCTTTTATCTCCCCTCCTTCCCTCAATGTGATGTGGCCTTGTCATTTTCGTTTTTATATTATTTCTAAGTCTTGTTAAACTTCTAAAGCTTAGCTTTTGCCTAAACTGTGCTATCTATCCCCCACCTTACTTTCACCCCCTGCCTGGATGCTAATTTTTGGATTTACCTGTCGTTTTTGGCTATCATTTTGATTCCATATTTCCTGAACTTTGGACGGGGTGCTGATCGGTGTCCCCGGGGATGCCCACAACACACACACAACAACAACACACATTGTATTTTATGTGAATAAATTTTATTATGTGAAAGATGACCCTGGAAAATTTACACAGAGTACTTGATGCTACACAACCGTACGCAATAGAACCCTACGGTAAGTTACGTGAGGATAGGGGAGTCGGCGCAAGACTACTCAGCAGCATACGTCCCGCTGCGTGATTACACCCTGTTGGCGTATTTTATACGTTGGTTTCGTCCTTTACGAAAAGCTATGATATGCCACCATCGCATACGCTAGGATACGCAAGGCTAGGAAGGGCTACGTATGGCTACGCAAAGATACGCTGAATCCTATGATAAGCCACCAGTATCCCTGCATCATCAAAAATCAACCAAGCCGAATGGTCCAGGATTTGATGTTGGAATAGTGTGAAAAATCTTGCGTATCCGGATACACGAACAAAAACAAGTGTATTTTGATGTAATAAAATTTTTTCCATAAAAATTCAATCTGAAATCCTCTAAAAAATCGATCTGATAACATTTACTGTTTAGTTATGCATAAAAATTTTAGGTTAAAGCTGGTAAAATGGAATGCGGAATGCTGGAATTATCAGTAACACTATGAAAGTCATGTAGGCAAAAGGAGAATTGCGTGAAAACCCATTGGACGAAATATTGCAGCAAAAATTTACGCGGTTACTACCAACTTAAGAATTTACTGACGCTCGAGCTTGTAGGTATGGCGCCGGGCCATCGAGCACCCAATAATCAGCGTAATTAACATGCAAATCGAAAAGGCAGCCGCTGAGGCGATCAGCGTCGTGACTGGGATGCAAATCTCGCGCTGGAGAATCCGGAAGACGTCGTCAAAGCCCGGGTTCGGGGCGCTGGGAGTTGGGGTGATGCTCTGAAAATGACGCAGGTGAAAATGTATTGCTACGCTTAGGAAAAGCTCGCTAAGATTTGATGCTTACGATAACTGCGCCTATCAAAGCCTTAGGACTCCGATCCGACCCAATTCGCTACGAATAACGTGCGATACGATACGCCTACTACGGTCCTAGTACGTTACGATACGCGCCCTATATTTTGCTACGTATATTACGTTACAATACCTGTGGAAAATCGTAAGCTCTCGAAAAATAATGAATTTTCTCACCAACGCCGTCATATTCTGCAGCTCGAATGGGTCGACCATCTCCTCCGGTAAATCCTCATTCATCGTCAGCGTAGTTTGAAGCACCTCCTGCTCCCGCTTCATGATCCTGCTAAATAAAACATACTCTTTTCATACTTTGATCTTTAAATACCCAGATCGCGCCCATTTTTTGTTGACTTCCGGCTCATTTCTCATGACGATACTGCGCTTGGAGCGACCGCAGGTCTAAAAGAAAACTGTATAAAGGGCCACGGAAGACAAAAAGAGAGTGGAAGTTCAGGTATAACTTAGTAACTTACAGGCGGTGAGAAGCCCTCACACTCTCCGGTCTCCTTCTTGCACAACTCAACGACACATTCGTAGTTGAGGACGCGAGAATCCGAGAATTTGTAGCCGGACGTCTCGGTGAAAGCCTGAAGGTATATTCTTCCCACAAGTTTCGTTTTTAAGATATTAAAGGGATCAGCAAGGCCGGCAGGAAATCATAATTTATCAATTACCAACCCTAGTCAGCTGTGTGTCGTACTGTAGATCCGGCTGGATGAGCGGATCGATAGCGCACCCATCGACATCGAGCTGAGGTATTTTTTAATGTTCTTAAATCTCTACAGGGTGTCCCAAAAAAAAAACCCCCCCTACCTAGCGGTCCGCAGTCGATTCCGATTTTTACGATTTAGGTATCTATCGAAAGCTCTCAAAAAGGCGAGAAAACAAGGAGGGTTGAATTTCTAAATTAAGCCTTATTGTTTGCTAATTTTATGTCCAAAAACCATGAAAACTGCTGATTTATGCGAGATCTGCATGCTAATTGCGAAATTCCTGATGAAAAATTCCCGTCTTTTTAGGAAAACCTGAAATATCGATGGAATCAGATTAGTTCTTAGAAAACGAAACCCGCTTGTTTTCTCGCCTTTCCGAGAGCTTTCGATTGGTATAAAAATCATTGCGATCCGATCCGATTGACGGCTTCTAGAGGGGGGGGGGGGGGGTTTTTTGGGACACCCTGTAGAAATTAACCTACCAGATCGAATTTGTATCCCTTTCCGTCGGTCACGCTACAGCTGTGCACAAGAATTCCCTGCGCTTCTCCCTCACACTCCCACACGTGGAAAATATTGTCGCCGACCTCGCCTTCGCTAAAAAGAGGTTGATTTTGGATCCAGACAGGTTTGAAATAAGCAGAGGATGCGTGAAATAGCTAAGACTTACACAATTGGTGGTCCCTCCACGCTGCCGAGACGGATACTGTATGAACAGGTTGGAGCCGGGGCTGCCTCGACGAGTTCGGTGGTTCCGAGTCCGGACATTTCTTAAAAATACGAGCTAAGGTCGTCGTTTTGAGCTTAAGGTATAGTCCGTATGAATTGTGAATGAGAGCTGCCCAAAAATACTTTAAATTTGGTCTTGCTGAGTTTCTCTTACCAATCGCATTGGTGAGCATCGACGTAGATCTGAAGAAGCACATGCAACGATACGCACGGTCAGCCTTCGTCACAAACGTACCATGGAAGGAGACAACGATGGTTAGGGAGAACATGAGGCCCTGAAGATTTGAGATCCGAAGATAAAGACCTGAAGATAAAGGGATCGAAAAGGCATAAGTATAAAGTCATCCGATACTTTTTCACCATATTGTTGTTACTTATTAAGGTATATAATAACGGTGAAATACTGCACCAGAATGTGAGGGAACTTGCTGTTTTCGCAGAAAGGCGTCAAGCCGAACAGATTTTGGCCAAAAAATACCTCCAGCTTGCCGCTAACGCGGTGCCGCTGCATGGCGCAGTCTCCATTGTTAACGACCAAGGAAAATCTGAATAGAATTACGTTTGTTTTTGTTTTTCTTTATTGAATAGCTTTTTAACCCAATGTGCGAGTGACCAGAGCTTCGAAAAAAGTGCTTTTCAAATATAAAGCTTTCAAGCTATCAGCTTGATTAAAGGGGCTACGAAATGCCAAAAATTGAGTGAAGGTCCGCAATCGGAGGCCTGGACGTCGGAGGCCTCTGTACACCCCGGGACCCGGGAAGCTCGCAAATTTGAAATTGCCTGTTGTCACCTCGAAATCATGTTCTCGGCTGTTTCTGGGCCAAATTTGGTGCTTAAAACACCAAAACTATTTAAAATTGAGTGAGGATTTCAAAAATGGGCTCAGAATGCGCGAATTATACACTGATGGACATAATTTTAACGGCACCCAGATTTTTCGAAAATTCTCGATAGTGGAGTTGTTTCGAGAAAAGCTTTTCTATTGAAGAAAGTTGCCGTATTCCATCACAATACGGTACCCCACAACCGTTTTTCCATTCCAGGCCGATAAATTTTTTTAAGAAGACTTTTGTGAAAAAAGCACTTTGGCCGGCGGCCATAATTATAACGGCACTCCCGGAAAAAATTTCTTAAAATTCGGTAATTGATATCAATTGGCTAAAAACGATTCCAATAACCTTTGGCTGCCCCATTTGGCTAAACGGACAGAAGAGACCGCTCTCCAAGTCGAGATCAGGCATCTTAAGCAGCTTTTAGCCCGTCTTGTTGCGGTTGTCAGAAAATCGTCTGCGCGAGCTCTCTACGCTCTGTTCCAGGGTTGGAACCTGTGTCCCAAGAAACCCCAAGCATGTTCAACCATGCTCGAATTGAATCAGCAGGCTTGCCAAGCCGGCACTTCGCTTCCAAGCCCTTAGAATTCACTAAGGGCCGCCTGATTCCAGTAATCGAGGCTTGTCCCCGTCAAAAAATGAAGTTTTCGTTTGTCCTTCTTCCAATTCCGTCTCCCATATCGAAGAACTCCATGGCTTAACCCATTATTGTGTCCGAATCGGCTAAGTCACAAGGATTGTGATGGAAAATGCTTGCCCCGCATTGACGCTACCCCCATGAAAAATGTTTCCTGGAAACCAGGAGGCTTCTGGCAACTTCTGGCATCTTCTGGTGCGAGAAGGCTTTCCATCCATTGCTCTGACAATTTCTACGCGTCAGCGAACCGATCTGGAGCGCTTCCAAACTCGTTAAGAATAACGATGACTTATTCAGCCGGCTGTCAAGCTGCTCAGATCGAATTGGGCTCGATTTTTCCGCATGTTTTTGTTTCAACTTGTCGTATTCTGTTAAGCGAATGAGTACGTCGATGGTCGAGACGGAATTGGACGAAGGACAAACGAAAACTTCATTTTTTGACGGGGACAAGCCTCGATTACTGGAATCAGGCGGCCCTTAGTGAATTCTAAGGGCTTGGAAGCGAAGTGCCGGCTTGGCAAGCCTGCTGATTCAATTCGAGCATGGTTGAACATGCTTGGGGTTTCTTGGGACACAGGTTCCAACCCTGGAACAGAGCGTAGAGAGCTCGCGCAGACGATTTTCTGACAACCGCAACAAGACGGGCTAAAAGCTGCTTAAGATGCCTGATCTCGACTTGGAGAGCGGTCTCTTCTGTCCGTTTCAGCCAAATGGGGCAGCCAAAGGTTATTGGAATCGTTTTTAGCCAATTGATATCAATTACCGAATTTTAAGAAATTTTTTCCGGGAGTGCCGTTATAATTATGGCCGCCGGCCAAAGTGCTTTTTTCACAAAAGTCTTCTTAAAAAAATTTATCGGCCTGGAATGGAAAAACGGTTGTGGGGTACCGTATTGTGATGGAATACGGCAACTTTCTTCAATAGAAAGCTTTTTTCGAAACAACTCCACTATCGAGAATTTTCGAAAAATCTGGGTGCCGTTAAAATTATGTCCACCAGTGTAGTGTTTTCACAAAGTAACCGGGCAAAAACAACTTCGCGCAAAAATCGAAAAAGTGAGGGCTCTCGTCCCGCAGCGCCCGCTGGCAATTTGCCAGAAATCAAAGAGGCCTCCCAAAAGGGCTTTGATTTGGCAGTTCGGAGCCCCTTTAAGCTCCCCGTAAACCAAATACCTGGACTGATTTGTGTTCTTTGCAAAGCCCTGAGCACAACGTTCATCATCTGACAGCCCCTGGACGTACACCCTTCCGGAAAATGGCTTCCGAGTCTTGAAAGTCAAGGCAAGCATCGTGTCTTCGCAATCCACCTAGAAGTAAAGAAAATATGGCTAAAGCTTTAAGGGAAATTCTCATACCTTCGGCTCTCCGACAATCTCGTTGTCGAACATGAAACTGGCCACCGAAGGGATAAGTAAGACGACAAGGCCATGGAGTACCCGGAGCAGCATGGTGCTAAAAATTTTCATGCTTTAGAATTCGAAATTTGTTTCTGGAGGTCACCGAAAAGGATGAGATTTTGTGAAAAGTTTAAGAGAAGCCGAGGCTTAAGCTAAATCTATGCGAAGCCTAAGCTTAGCCCCAAGCCTAAGCCCAAGCTAAACCTGAGCCAAAGCCTAAGCTAACCCTAAGTCTTTGCCTGCTTTTGCCTAAGCCAAAACCTAAGCATAGGCTCAGCTTAAGGCTAAGTTAAGCCTGAGCTAAGCAGAACCAAGCGAACCTATGCTAAAGTCTAAGCCTAGCCTAAGCGTAAGCCCAAGTATTGGAACGTATATAAGCAGAATTAGATTTCGGCTAGTTGGAAATTTTGACGATACGATGGGATACTGTAAGCTACTTTAATGAGAGATGCGGTAATCGGCCAATAGTTTCCTAGGTGCTAATAAAACAAGGCGAAAAATAAGCCCCATGCCAGGTATAATTAATGGGCATGTTTGTGTGCCCACGTAATGAGGTGCGTTGCGGAACTTTTGGATACCCGGCCCCTTCCGTGCTCCTCCTGTTTTGGGTATCAAACAGGGCCATCATCTTGGGTGGCGAGCGGGTGGCGGGAAGATGGTGGAACGCGCTCGGGGTTGAGGGATAGATTGCCATCTCTAATAATCGAGATTTAGGGTCGCTACATTGCCTAATACCCCCCAGGCTCATAACAACATACCGGGCATGAGGACACTGAGGGGAGATTTCCGGAAATTTAATCTAAAAAAATTAAGGAAGTCACGCTTTAGGAAAATTTTGCTTCCTTACTCTTCCCCGCCACTTATAAGACCAAGGAACTTTTGCATTATTGGGGGGGGGGGGAATAAAAAGTGGATTTTTTTATATTAGTCCTGCCGTCGATTAGTATAATGATAGGTATTCTAAAAGAGCCAATAAAACAAAAATTCTAAAATTAAATAAAATCAATTAAAAGTTACGATTTCCCGTGTTACAAGTCTTTAAAATTGTCAAAAACGAGGTTTGTTGTCGAAAAAATATATTTCTGTATTTTTTTTATTAAAATTATTAAAGTAGGTGCGCTTCGGAATGGTAAAAACAGTTAAAAAAAATATTTTTCTATTTCCCAGAAAAAATTTCAGGCAATAAGTGAGAAAGGGAGAGAGAGAGACATAGAAAAAGAGAGAGAGAGAGAGCGAGAAAGAATGAAACCTGGATATGGACACCTAGCAGAAATCGCTAAAGATTTGCTTCACCGTCTTAAGCGAGAATTTGAAGTCAGTTTGACCTAAAAGAGCCCAATTTGCACGCAAAAGTCAACGCAAAATTAGCATGCGGAGAACTTACAATTGATAATTAACATGTTTTTGATAACTCTGGCTAAAACCTATTATCATTCCCCCAAAAATGCGCCTCCTCACGTCGACGCTCGTCCTCTTGGCCGCCGTCCAGGTTCAGGCTGCTGGGTGAGCCCTTTTTGAAACATTGAAATGCTAATTGAAGATTGAAAATTCGCAAAACCTTAGTTTGTTTCCAGTCTCGACCCGACGGGACTCTACGACTACGTGGGGCGTCATCTGCGCGAGGTGACGCGCGCGAGCACAGACAAATATATCTGCGACAGCTTGTTTCGATATGTATGGTGAACGGTTTCACTCTGTCTCCCTCTCTCTCCCTCTCTACCTCGCTCTCTCGCTTTCTCATTCCCACTCTCTCTCTCACTCTCTCTTTCTCCGCTTTTTTATCGGTCTTTCTCTGTTTCTCTCTTTTGATCTCTCACCCGTTGTCTTGCTCTCGCCCTCGAGAGAGAGAGAGAGAGAGTGGTATTATCCGTTGAGATACTTCCCTTCCAGGTCTGTCCAACCGGTATCGACATGGCGACACACGGCATGGGCTCGGCGTTGTACTTCGACATGAGGAACCACCTCACCCAGTCCGACACTGCCGCCAATCCGCTCGAGACGAGCAGGCCGAACAAGCCGAGGGTACGGTAGATCAGCCACTTAGAAACAATTTGACATTCACTGACAAATCCCAAAATCTGTTTTGAGAGCGACCTCACCTACTACGACAAGGAGACGCTCAGCCTGATTGCCCCCTTCTTCAGCATGTACCGCCCGTCGCTGGTTGGGGTCCTGGAGGTGGGACTGTTTTTAGCGCGAAGTCTAAGCTAAGCCTAAGAAGCTAAGCCTAAGTTAAGCCGAGCTCAGCCTAAGTTAAGCCTAAGCTAAGCCTATGCTAAGCCTAAGCTAAACCTAAGCTAAGCCTATGCTAAGCCTAAGCTAAGCCTAAGCCTAAGCCGAAACCGAAGCCTAAGTCTGCTACAGGATGACGTGCCGTTCGGCGAGACCCTCCTCGCCGCCAGCTACCGCAGGGGTTGGCACGCCGACGACCCGGATCGTCATCCAAGATGTACGACGAGATGACGCTCGAGGTTCATCCGTGTCCTCGATGCGGTAATCTTCCTTGCACTCCTTTGTTCATATACTCTTGCTAGTACGACTACAAGCTGTTCGCGAACCGGGGCGGCCTGCAAAAATTGCGCGACGACATCCGCGAGCAGCTCAAGAAGATGGCCATGGTGGGGTGGATTTCGCTACAGATACGGGAAATTTTCAGATCCAAATGCGAGCCGCCGGGCCTGCGAACGCTAAACAAAGCCTTGCTCCATGGTCGGGCAGTACTACGATAGCGCGGCCGTACAGGTAGCAGACTGGCGCCTTGCTGTCACTATCCCTTTAAGGGGCAACACCACCGCCAAGAAACTCGCCGACGACGAGGCGAACCCCGGATCAGTAGTCACCGCCTCGCTCCACTTCCGGAAGGTGGTCGAATTTTCGCAAATTATAAAGTTTTTTTATGATTTGAACCTACTAGGAGCCCCCCCCCCGACAATGAACCAGAACCCAATCACTTACAATACCTATGGTACCCTCTAATTATAGCTAGGCGCCGCCCGAGTGGCGGCCCGCATGGTTCGCCAGGATCTGAAGAGGGACTATGGCGAGGACGGCGACAAAATGATCAAGGGTAGCTGGGAAAACAGTTCCTTAGCAATATACCAATTTGTCAGGCTTGACTCACGTGCTGCGCGACTCGCGCACCGGCGACCTGGCGTCCCGAGTTTTGCCTGCGCTGCTCAACGCCAACTCGCTGCTGCGCATCGCCGATCTGCAGTGGGAGCACGGCGGTCACGACAAGAGGGCCGCGTACCCGCCACTGATCTTTGTGGGTTTTTGAAGATACCTCTCTCTCTCTCTCGTTCTCTCTCTCTTTCGCTCTCTATTTCTCTCTATCGTTCTCTCGCCATCACTCTCTCTCACTCTGTCTCTCTCACTCTCTCTCACTCACTCACTCTCTCACTCGCTCTCTTTTGCTCTTTCACTCTCTCACTCTCTCACTCGCTCTCTTTTGTTCTCTCACTCTCTCACTCGTTCTCTCGCTCTCTTTCGCTATCTCTCTCTCTCATGTCTATCTATCTCTCTCGCTCTATGTCTCTGCCGGTCTCTCTCCCTCACTCTTTCTCTCTTTCTCTCTTCCTCTCTCCCCCTCTCTCTCTATCGCTCTCTCTCGCTTTCTATCATTAGCCTAGCCGTTGTGGTCTGGTTGGCCCGACATCCCCAAGCAGTTCCACTTCTCGACTTCACCATAATTTTGTTTACAGTACTCCACCGTCGGCACCGAGATCGCGATCGAGTTCCTGAAGGCGTCCCGCGACAAGAATCACGTGCCCGAGTCCCGCAACTGCTCCTACGAGTACTTCAAGTCGTTCTGTCTGGCCGGCAACGACGTGAGCGCGTTTGGAGACCATTTTCCGGGGCTGCATTTTTAGCGGGGGAGGGCGAATTTTTTCGCGGTAATGCCGTGGAGCCTTATGGCGTAACATTTGCCAATTCTATGACATTTTAGAGCGTTTTTGATGCGAAAAGCTCCTAAGAAGTTATAGAAATCTTCAAAATTTCAGAAGGGCTGCGAGAAGGCGCTCGAGCAAGTCGGCGTCGAGGAGGAGGAGATCATCTACGGCACGGCCATCCAGCTGTCATTCGAAGCGTGGCGCCGCAACTACCCACTCCCTGCCTTCTACGGCGACAAACCCCTCGCCACCATCGTCTTCCGCGAGCTGACCATCGGCGACATGTTCTTCGCCGCGTGGGCCGTACAAAAGTGCGACTCGTACACGAGGACCTTGCCTAGGTATCGATCTAGCTGAAAGGATCTTTTTAAATTTCGATACTTGACTGTTAGCGGGGGGCGGGTTGGAGGGTGACCTACATTTTCCGGTACGACCCTATGGCGAAATATAAACCATTTTTTAGCTCATCATTGCAATTTTTTAGATAGGAAAAATATATAAAAAATTTGGCACTGTGCTGTTAGCCGGGGGTGCCGCATAAGACTTCACCTATTTTGGTTAAAAACCCACAAGGTAGCCTTTTTCGACCAAAACGGCCGCATTTCGACGAAAATCCCACCTAAAAAAATTTTCCTGTTTTTTTATTAATTTTTGATTTTTCATTTCATTGCCTATGAAAATACGTTATTTCTTTTAGCAGGTTGGATAAAAAAATTAGTTTCCCTTCTAATCCCTGCCACCGAGTACCTAATTTTAAAAATCTAACTAATTTTTCAGCAAGGAATCGTGGGGCATGCGGACGTTGATCGACGCCGCGTCAGCCAATCACCCATATTGGATCGAACAGTGTGGTGAGCGGGATTATATGCAGAGGGTGGGTGGAGATTTTCAAGCGCTCTCTCTCTCTCTCTCTCCATCTCTCTCCTTACGCTCTCTCTCGCTCTCTCTCTTCTCTTTCTCTCTCCCTCCCGAACATCTCGATCACGATTGCTTCCAGGTCGAGCGCTGCCCCTTGCTGCTACTCCATGGAGTACCACGTGGACCTCTAGCTCTAGCTGCCCCACCCTCATCTACTGGCAGCGCCCAAACTCGATGCCAGCCCCTGCCACCACAACCACCTCCAAGATGTTCAGCCACAAAAACACCCGTCGTTTATTTTTG